CGCTGCGCTCTCAGGCGACCCGCGGCCGGCGGGTGGGCGCTCAGGCTCTGGGGAGAGGCGCTCGGTTCCTGGACCTGCCCGGGGCAGCCGGGCAGCCGGGCAGATGCGACCGCAAGCGCATGGGCTGCATGAGGCTCGCCAGGGCGCCGGCCAAGGGCGAAGGCGCGGCCCGGCTCCGCAGCCGCAGCCGGCCGTGGGCACCGCGCCCTGCACGCGCGCCCAGCACCTTTGCCCTAGGTCGCCGGGCGCCAGAGCCGCGAGGGCGGACGGAGCCCGCCGCAAGTTTGCAAAGCAACCCGCTAGGCTGCCGCGGGAGAGAAGCCTCTGCAGAGCCGCCTCTCCGCCGAGTCGCACGACAGCTCCGGGTCTGTCAGCCCAGGCGCGGGCAAGGCAGACACACTCGCACACACAGGCTGGCACCACCACAACCCGCCAGCCGGTGTGACAGGAGCCCTGCTACCCGCAGCAAAAACCTGCCCTAGGTATGGAGCATGCGCCAAAGCCTTCCCCCAGCCCCGGAGGAGTTTCCAGGGGAGGAGTCCGCTGCTCCACGGGGCTCCGGGGAGGCAACTGGGGGTGGGAATCCCTTCAGCCTGGAGCTCGGAGACATTTGACAGGAAGGCTAAGGTGGCGCGAGAACAAGCTCTAAGGAGGGTGTCGCTGGCGATCTGATTCTTCCAACATCAGCAGCTTTCTCAGCATAAGAGTAGGCAGAAACCTGGTTGGCCTTATTTACAGGAATAACACTCCATGTCTCGGGAAGTCTCACGTATACCAGGCTTCACAAGGGTTGCTTGTCCCTCCTCCGCAGGGGAAATTGACCCCAGATTTCATTTGCTGTCTCCCTGCAAGGGTCTGACGCGAAAGTTTTGTTCCAGTCCTTCCTTAATTATGAACTTGGTAGGTCCAACTCTACAACATTGTTCAACCAGAAACTATTGAATGCCTACTGTGTAAAAGGTTCTGTGTTTAATGCGTACTTCATTTCTTTCAGCACCACAGTCCAGCCCACAACCACTCAGGACATAAAAGGAGTTTAAGGGTCCCCTCCTAAAATCCATTCTGAGCTTCTCAAATCCATTCTAACACCCAACGAGCTTCTCATTGTTCAAGACTCACTCTTTCCCACCCACGTGAAAGAAAACATCAACTCTCCCTACCTAAATTTTATAGTTAAGCTCTTCTTTGTCCACAGATGTATTTTAAAGTTTCATTTTTCCAAATGCGTAAAATTTGAATTTACCCCCGAAACAAAGGTCGAAGTAAGAACGATTTGAGTTTTTCAGATAGTGAGTATACTAGCCAATTGGAGTGCTGAACACAATGTCTAGACTTGCTTGAGCTGTTTTCCAAGTGGAAAGTGGCAGTATGTAGAAATTTGGAGTAGTGTGGTGTGAGTCCCTGGGCCAGGCCAATGATGAGTCTCCTACTTACTGGTCTGACACAGTCCACCAGTCATGGTATTCCACAACTTCAAGGTAGCCAGCCTCCCTACATGGCCTCTTCAGGGATCATGGACAGTACTTGCTTGCTCCTGAGAGCTGTGCTGATCTCTTCTGTCTGTCCTGTTTACAGCATCAGTTAAAATCCAGATCTCTTTTAGGGATGCTAAATCTTGCTCAATAGAAGTTATTTCTATTGTTCTAGACAGGTGGGGATTCTTCTCAACAATGTTTTCCTCCACTGTTTCATTTCTTGTCAACTCCACAAACAACATGAGCCTTACCCTTCTGGATACTGTAGATGTCTACATCCCTAAGAAGCGTGTTGGGTAAGATGAACCAGCTTCTCTGACTTTTTTTTTAACTCTATTTCTTTTTCTCTCGTTTAAGTGTAAAATCCTATTAATGGCACCACACTACACTCAAAAGCAAGAAATTGTGGTTAAAAACAGAACCTAATAAAACCCAGCAATTGTTTCCTAAATGTGTCAGGTAAATGGCGACACTACCCTACTTGGCAAGTTCCAGGCCAGTGAGAGGCTCTGTCTCAAATAAAAGATTGACAGCACCGGAGGAACACATCTGCGATTTACTTCCACATGCTTGAGCACACAGGCATGAGCACATGTGCACACACACATACAAATATGTCTCTTCAAGTAAAAAGTCGTTATGTCTTTTTACACTATTTTATGTGAAAAAGCTCATGCTTTCTCTAATACAGCTTGATAAATAGAGCTTTTATACTCAAATGGCTCACAAGACTGTTGATGGTAATTTGCATAGTGGAAGCACTTTCCTAGCCATCTACTCTTTTGCCCCTGGTAACAACACTCCAAGGAGATTAAAAACAAGTATGACACTCCATTTCAGAGATGAGGAAACTGAACCAAGAAAAGCTGGGTGAATGCAAAGTCAAGATTTGAAGCTACTAACATCCTGAAATACATTCAAATCACCACTGAAGAAACCACTGAACATCAGCAGCACAGCTCATCATTTCCTCTCTCCCCTCTTGAGACCCTCTGAGGCAGGAGGCAGGAAGAGACAACAGAATTGCAATAGAACAATTAAGTTATTTTCCTTCTCCCCCTGGCTTTCTAGGCAAAGCAGAGTAATTTCACATCCTGCAATATTTTGGAGTCTAGTCTGAGTTTCCAGATAAACCAGGGAAAGGCAATATCAATCATAAATTGATTGCATCATTATTAAAAGAGATCATTTAGAAGAATTTCAGAAGAAAATGTTGTAACAAATGTAACAAGCTGTTACTAACTTATGAGTCTATCAGTAGGGGTACTTTCTTAACATTGATCAACGAGCATTTATCCCATAATCCTGGGTTTGTTTGTTTCTTTCAGTAAAATAGTCGAGTTCCATCATTTCCTTGAGGTAACTGGAAGGAAAACAATGCATAGATTCAAGGCAATTACATAGATAATTCAGGCATGTGCTCACATATTCATTTTTAATGATAGGTAACTTTGGTTGGATAAACAGTCTGTCCCAGGTGTGGTCTCCCTATTACCACTGTGAAACTTGTTGTGAACCTAATCAATGCTCTTAAATCATGCAATAAAACAGGTTTCCTTATCTACAAGGGCAGACCTCACATTCGGGTGAAAATAGAAACTTTCTAAAAGTGAATGCTCTCCAGGTAAAAAGGAAGGGCATGTTTGCATTCAGCCTACTATAGTTACTCCAGGATGACACCAGCTGGCAATTGTTTCTGGCTAACAGATTGCAGTGACTATGATTCCTACATAAATTATTAAAATAATAAAAATAATGTTTTCAAAGAACCTTCTTCCACTTCCTCTGCCAGTCTAGCAATGAGCCTAACACTATCTGTGAGGCAATTTGTTCACCTAATTTTATGCCTTAATAAGCTCTACTACAATTATTTTCTTGCCTGAGTCTTTATCTACCTTCACTTTATTATTCTTCCTCTCAGTTCTTTTCAAATATTCTCAAACCTGTTACTAGCATTGTCCTCCCCCAGGAGTCAAACTTTTGATTAGAACAGTTCTCATTTAATCAAGTTCAACTGGGAGATAAAATTGCATCTCAACTTCTCCCTTTTCCCTTTGGTGCCAGAAACTGCCTTTGAGAATGGTGAGGAAATTCTGACAAGATTAGCCATCCAAACAATTACAGAGAATAGTTTTGGATCCCCTGCATTTGTACACAGGAATATATCGATATGAATGCCCTTCAAGGCAGATGGAAAACAAAATAAAATAGATCATGTTGCCAATTGGCGTATGAATCTCTCTTTCAAGCATAGAAAGTTCTCTTACTCACTGGAATGATTTCCTCCTCATTTATGTAAACAAGCCCCACTCACAAGGCCCCTGGGTAAGCAATTTTCAAGTAACAGAAAATGGTAGCTTTCTTCTTCCTTAGGAAGTTATCAGAAGACTTTGTACAGCCAGGACAAGTCATAAAAAGAATTGTGATATATCCCAAATGTATCTCAGTTCACTGCAGGATTGTAACTTTGGAGCTACTATGTCCCTACATAATGCTTTTCAAAAGTCCTATTTATATGAAAGGCTCATTTTTCTTTTGGTTTGCTTTATTATATAACCCTTTTCACCCACCACAGAAGGCAGCTTGTCAGTGAAGGATGGAAACTGCTATCTATATGAATAATGTATTCATTAATTCAGTATAATGTAAGTAAAAGCACTAGTCTTTTCACAGTAGATAGGCATCGATTTCTTCAAAAATTTGTTGAGCACTTGCCATATTGCTCTGCTTTAACAACACCACTAAAAAAGACCAATCAAGACCTGACTTTCATATATCCTACATTTCAGTAGAACAGGGAAAAGAAGAAATAATATGATTCATTCACTTAATCCAAAAATATATCATGAGATACTACTATGTGCCAGATACTTTAGATACTTGGATTGCACTGGAGAGAAACAAAAATAATTTTTCCCTCAAGAATTTAAATGGCAGAAAAGTAAAAACAGTACAGAAGAATGTAGAGAGACACTGGAAGGTGGGTCGTGTCAAGGCTGCTAGGTTATTGTAAGAATTTTGCTCTGAGTAGAGTGAGGATGGAGGTGTGGGAATATGTGTTCAGTATAAAGGGTCCAATTCCACTGTTTTGTTTTGTTGAGGATAGACTATAAGAGGTCAAATACAGAAACAGGAAACCAGTTAAATGAACATTCCTGTAACCATGTGAGAGATGACAGTAGCTCAGATAAAGAAAAGGTAGTAGTAGCAGAAGATGTGGTGGTAAGA